CCCCAAAACCCCAAAACCCCAAAACCCCAAAACCCCAAAATTCTTGCTGATATTGAATAAATATTTCAAAAATGAATTCTTCAAGAAACGACACTCAAGACTCTAAGAGAGCGACTATACATTATAGTAACAGAGAGCTGTTACAAGTATTATGTTTCATGAGGTTTAGCTAGAAAATGATATAAAATAAACTTACCGATTTCGAGAGCCAACTAAAGAAAAACTCAAGTATTGTCCAAGTACTTGAGCAGAAAATAGCTAAGATGCTTAAGAAGGTAATTTTTGGTCTATTCTTAAGTCGAAATACTACCTCTAATTGTCTTCTTCACTCATGTATCTCACGTATCATTCTAGCAAGCAGAATTAGACAGTAAATAGCTCTATCTAATCTTGTAGTGGTGACTCAAGACCTGACTATTTACAAAGGTACCTATAAATCTCACTCTATAGACCAGAAGCATGAGGAATTTTATAAGCGAATGAGAGATAAGACTGATATTACAGAGACCACTAGGCTGAAGAACAGCGTCTCTCATAGATTCCAGGAGCTCCAGTTCCAGATAGATACCACCAATGCTGAGATTTATAAGATATATAAATCAAATTATGTGAATAAAGAACAGCTGGATAAGTTTAGCAATAATTTTGTGAAGAAGGAAGAATATGAATTTTTGATAGAGGGTAAGTCATGGTATTAATTTTAGAAATCAACAGAATCGATGGTAGGTGATCAGATAGGGGTCTTAAAATTAATTTTAAGGAGTTAGAAATAGATTTTGAGTCATATGTTGTTTAGAAACTTTAAAAAATTTGGAGGATGAGTTTACCGATGATCAAAGTGAATTCTCAGCAGCAGAAGAAACAGATTCAAATGTACCTTAAGTTTATCAATCTGTAGGTCAAATAAGACAATTAAAAACTCAGAAGCTAGCATAGCACTAGAAATTAAAGACAAAGTAAACGATATAACTCCCACTTACGGATCCAAAAAGTATTCATCTAAAGACAGCTCAGCTGAAGAAAATCCTCCCCGAAAGCCAGCACCAAAGAAGATTCCTCGGAGGAAGAAGCCCCCAGTAATAACTCTGAATGAAGCTAAGGACCAGAAGTCAGAGTCTATTGGAAACCCCATCTCGCCTGCTGCCTCTGACAAACCTGAGCTAAATCCTTTCTATCAGGCTAAGTTTCAGAATAAGAACGGGTTTAGCTCCCTTAAAAACAACATTGTTGATAAATAGCATGCAGTCTTTCTCTGATTTGAATTATTTCATGCAAAATGAAGAGAGAAAAGATGAGATTGGAGCTCTTAGTGAAGACAAAGAATCTCCTGATAAGTCTTTACAGTCACATATAAGGTAATCAATTTCCAGCTCTAAACTTTATAGTAACGATTTTGATAGGATAAAAGGAGCACGGAGCCAGATCAAAAGACTTGAATCTAAAAGCTCAAACAAGATATCAATTCAAAGACTTAACACAAAGATCTCAAACATCACTTCTAGGCGTAGGGCGAATGCCAAGAAGGTCGATAGCTTAGTATCTCAATACGATGCGTTAGAGACAAACTTGAAGACAGTTCTAGACGCTACTTGGGACCTTAAGAGTACTCAAAAGAAGCATGCTGAGGCACTGAAGACTATCTCAGACCAGATCACTAATCTCTCTAGTGAGACTGCCAACCTGGCCTTGATGAACAACAAGGTGTCTGAAGCAGTAGAGAAGGTTGCTTCTAAGATGCCTAAGACAGACGGTCAAATAAAGTCCTTGGTGAGGAATTCTGAGTTGAAGAATAAGGAGATACAAAATGAAATAAGGGAGCTTGAGGGAGCCAAAAGTAGGATTATTCAGACAGAGGTAGATCTTAGGCAAATAAGCAATAAGATAGCCCTTATGAATAAGAGAAAGGTTCCAGGTGGGTCTGAGGTGGTCTCTGGTTTTTGAATTTTTGAATTTTGACAAGTTTGAACTGAATTTAGACTGAAATTGTGAGGCAATGATGAAGCCTTGGATGGGAGGTATCGATGCCTTGGTAATTTTTAGAGGTTGAAAAACGTATTCTGAGGGTTGTTAAAGATGTTAAGGAATGGAGCAGACACAATGTTGATTTTAAACAGTAAGAAATTCTCTGGATCATAAAACTAAGCTCTTAGGGTTTTCAAAGAAGTAGGCCAAGTAGATCAGAGAGTCCAGATGGAAGTAGAGCAAATTTAAAAGTGTCAACGAAGGTGTCCTCAGAGAAGTCAGAAGAATTGAAAGAAACATCACCAAAGACAGAGCTATTTCATTCTCCCCTTTCTCTGAGAAAGATAAGTTATTTATGTCCTCACCTAGCGAATTCCGGCCAGGTACTAATTATACTTCCAAAAGGGTGAAATCTCCGATTTCTAAAACTAAAATTACAAGTGATAATCAAACAGTGCATTTTAATCATCATAATACCTCTAACTATGTACACAAGGGTGCTAAAAAGCCTGATAAAATAGCTGTTCGGACCTTAAAATCAGTGAAACTCAAGAAGAGATACAAGCAGATGTATGAGAGGATAAGATCCCCTCAAGTGACTGGACACAAGCCACTTGATTTGAGAGAGATTAAGAAGTACATTCACGATTAAAGACTCTTCGTTGGGGATACCCTTTAGTCAGATAGATGGTAATTTAGGAACCTCTTGACTGCATTTAGGTATTCAAACTAGATATAAATTTTTCCAATATTGAGAGTCCATAGTGGGGTTTTGGGGTTTTGGGGTTTTGGGGTTTTGGGG